AGGGTGAATCCACCCAAACCACCACAGATTAGCACATAGATGAGCATAAAGAAAATGTCTTCCACACAGGCTTCACAAGCAGAAGCTACTACATCCACAACTGCAGACTACAGTTCAAGATTAAACACAGGTGCATTTTTTATTCACTTTCTCAAAGGCTGCTGCTGTTTTCTGACTCTACCTTCCAGAGTTTTTTTAGTGTATCAGTTTCTTACTAAAGGATTAACTCCAGTTCCTACTCTGCATGCTCCAAGCAAATTCTGCCTAAAGCATCTGTTGTGTCTTTTAGTTTCCATTAATAAAATGCACTTTCCATCATAACTCTCACTAATGATAATTACAACCAAAGTCAGTATCCCTTTCACCTGGGGATTTACCAACCAGGACAGATCTGGTAGCATTTAATTAGTATAGTGCTCCCCCTGACTTCCCAATACCTTTTCTTCACTGGATGACACAGTCATCCTGGAGCCAAAATCCTCTCGGACAAGAGGACCTCTTGCTCACAAAGAACAAACTGGCAGGGAACATGTAAAGGAATGGTAAAAGCGGAGCAACAGAAGCAGATGGGACTCTGTGCACTCACTTTGGATAAACTGTTGACAGTGGTGGTGGAGTTGAGCAGCTGCCCTTGGTCAGCAATGAGGTAGGCCAAGTGTTTGCGACGCTGGGTCTCCACCGCCACATCTGTCAGTGAGCCAGCCACGCGCATGGCCTCCCGCAGCAACACATCTGCATCTTCAATCTGACTTGGGATGTCCGAGAGCGTGTTGAAGATAGAGGCAGAGTTCTCGGACTGGATTAGCTCATCCTCCTGCAATGATGCCGTTATTTTGCCACACAGAACAGTGAACACAACAGCTATGCTCTTGGGGCTGCTAGATGCAGTTTTACACTCAGTGTACAGCCTGAGCCAGAAACAATGCAGGTACAACTAGATAATTCTGTAAGAACTCCAGTAGGAAGAACCCAAGCTGCCAATGGGGGGGGGGAACAGAGTCTTTTACTACCATACTCCACTGAGATCTGGCCCCAAAATTCTAGCTGGCATGTTTTTGAATTAGAGCATCCATCATTGAAATGGAGTCAAATTATCAAGAAAAGACAAACCAGAAACTATTCTGCATCCACTAAAAAAAAAGGAATCCTGCTGGGGACAAAAGCATGGAAGCTGCTCGATCTCATACACTACAGAGTGCCTACCATGTCAAACTGTGCTCTACCTTCCCCTCACTCCCAGCAGGCTCGCCCTTGCCCTTCACACAGCAAACTGAACCACAAAATAACTTTGCATAAAAAGAAAAAGATCGGGTGGTTAAATGTAAGCCAGCCAAATCAAATGCAGTCAGGACAATGCTAATCTCTTTACAATGCTGATTTCTTGGAGCATTCAACAGTGCCATGAAAGGCTTCCCAGATGACCACAACCTTGGCTTTATATCTCTGCTCAGAGACAGTGCAAAATCAAGAAGTATCTTGGTTTAGGTAAGATGGAACCTCAGGTTGGGATCTAGACTGAAGAGAGGGGTGCAGCTGATGGGGTTTAATTATGAGGGAGGCAGGGGAAACAGCAATCCCTGAATCCTATAAAGTGCCTTGGAAGTTCTTCACAGCCCTCAGTTCTGAGGAAGGCAGGAAGTTGCCTTCCCGAGTACATTTTCAAACCACAAACAGGAAGTGGATACAAAACCTTCTTGCCCACAAAACTCAGAATTAAACACTGAAGTACTATAAAGGAGGAAGAGGAGGTGGGAATTACCTTCATACTAAGCATGCCCAAAGTGAGCTGGAACAGCACCAGAGAGCCTTCATAGAAGAAGAGGTCCCAAATACGTAGCAGCAGCTTGATGTGGACAACACTAGCGAAAGAGGTGAGGAACCAGTGCAAGGTGATCAAGGAAAGCTCTGTGAATAAAGACACAGAAAAGATAGATGACAAGGGAAATCAATCAACCAGTGAAGATGGACTCTCCTAAGTGCTCTCCTTCCAGCTCAAAGATGACCATGGGCCAGGTTTGCTCCTAGCCCTGCCGCTCTCCCTTTGTGAAACAAGAAGTGTAATTTTTGTCTGCGTGTCACCCTGGCAAGAAAAGCTATAGTTTCTAGGGCCCCACTTTTACCGATGTCGTGCTCCTGGAGCAGCTTGTCCAGGCGGGGCAAGTACTGCACGATGAGCTGTCGCAGGACACGTTGGTCAGTCTGCACGCCCATCAGGGTGGTGCTAAAGTAGGAGGCAGGAACCAGTTCCTCAATGATAGCACACATCATCCAGAAGGCATCTTCCTCCTCTAAGAAGAGCAGCAGAGAGGCAGCCACCTAGGATTTTGAAGGAAGAAGAACTGCATGTGCTCAGAGAAGCAGAA